CTTTTAAACTTCAGAATAATGACAAATTTGCTATCTGGTCTCTAAAAAGTGACTAAAAAGGTGATAATATGTCATATTTACTATTCCAAATGTGACTTTTGCTTCTGAAAAGTGAGTTTTTAACTCATTTTGTAGGGTTATTATTACCGTTTTTTTCAACGTTACCAAGCTTTTGGTAAATTACCGTAAATTACCAATTTTTCCGGTAACGTTACCGGTAACATTACCGGCCGTCGCAACCCTAACATTTTAACACTAAGACATACCAGAACATACCAGGTGGCTGATTAACCCCGCTCACTTCTATGGTAATACGGTACTGCACGCGGGAGCGCGGGCTGGTGGCCTACTCGCTCCGCTCGTAAGGTGCCGTCGACAGGGGCGATAGGCAATCGCACTGTCAGTTGGTCGAACCGAATGTATTTCTCTTAGTTGTAGGCCTGCGCAACTCGACCTGCACAGTTTGACGTGTGTCCAAAGCGAAGAAACCAATGTGATTATGGTAGTGGTTTTACGTCTAATCGCAGCGGGAGCCGTGTGCTGCGAGGATAGGCAAACCCCGAGCAAACCTGTTCGCACCCGCACCCGTGCATGCGGTACAGCATATACGAAAGTGCACGGCGTGAATCAGCCACCTGGTATTACATGCCCGCTGGAAAAGAGCAAAATATGATCTAAAGTGGCATAATTTTGCTTGAGTAATAGATGTCGATGTTGCGCTCGCGCACCCATCTGTGCAAACTATTTGTAAATACCCGAAGATTTGCGCAATTAAATCGTCCCGTAAAGTCCCCATTGAAATATTATAAACAGAACACAATACTTGAATTAGTATCATCTGCTTTCATGATCCGTGCCAAGACGGAACCTTGTTTTTAAAAAAACTGAAAACTGTAGAGTGACACAAAAGAGAGGTTTTTCTTTTATCGCAGTGTTGCAGGATGGATGTCGACCAGACCCGAGCTAGGTGGTTGTCCCAAACACAAACTACCCCGTGTGGCGGCCGGCCAAGGGCCAAGGGCAACGGAGCTCACATCAGACCAACAGAACCGAAATGTGGTCAGCTCGGGTCAGCTTGTTCCGAGTCTGGCCGGAACTACAA